CAAACTCGATATACTAAGATTGACCTGTCATAATCTCAGTAATAACCATACAATGATTATACTGTAAAATGACTAATTTTCACTGGGTTTAAATTTCGCTGATTTACCATTTCAGGCATATTCAGTGGGTTTTAAATTCACGGTTTTATCATTTAGATAATGTGTTCTATGCTCAATTTTACATATTCACTGGGTTTTAATTTAGTGCATTTCCCAGTCAGCGAAATAACAAAATTAAAAATCAGTGAATAATTAAGCCTTTTACAGTATATGAATATTGAGAAATAATTTGAGTCAATAGCATTTTTATGATTTTTTTTTTTTGATTTTCTTTGTTACTTTTAAATCGAAATGTCTTCAGATTGAAAGAATATAACAAAATTATATGTGGGTTTCTTTTGTGAAAGGTGATAACTTTGACAAAATGTTACAGAACTATTTTGAAGAAGTTACTTACCATGTAGTTGGCCCAAGGAAAGAATATTGCAAGTGAGAACAGTCCCAGTAATGGTCCACCAATCATACCAAATATACTAAGTGCAGCCTAGTCATATGATAATAACCAATTAAACTGAGCGTTACAAAGTGAACATATATTATGTTAACTGGACTCTCATTGGAAGAAGTCTCAGACACTGTATTTGCTATTTAATTTTGCAGTCAGAGGCGGGCCATTAGAAACTCAGGATGTAACAAGGTGATTGCACTTAAATTTTTTCAGTGATGAATTCACTGTAATTTTTTTTAATTCCTGTGTAATATTTTTTTCCCTGAAGAATGAATGGCATGCACAATTTGTTGTTTCTTTTATTGATCTTTGCATTTTTTTTTTTTTTTTTTGCCATGGCCCACTCCTTAAGACATATAATACATTTCAAAATTGTCTAACCTGTAATACACTGCCCATGACTGACGAGACAAACGCCATTATTATACTTAATATACCATAGGATAAAGCTGGATAGAAAAATTAAAAGACCAGAAAATAGATATTCATTATTTTTGTCAGTCATAACATCAAAAATAAAAAAACAAGTAATTATTCATTTTTAATTAAAACACATGACATATTGTAAATAGAAAAGCAGATTTTCTGAAACAAAACTTGACATTTACCAAGTATCTTGGTCACATTAGTGTATGTTTTTCCATCTATATTCGGCCATATTTGGAGTATGATGTCTTCACCTGTAACAGCGGCCAATGAATTCAATCCAGATGATACTGTGCTGTCAACAAAAAAAAGATTAAATTTCAATTACAAATGTAGGGTTGAAAAAAAAGTTAAAGATGTATATAAAAGTTACTAAGAATGCTACTATACCAACCTACATATCATCTGAAAACTTAGATATAGGTAAATACTATAATACATGTGACGTATCAATGATTATTTTTATGAATTTCGAGGCTGATTTTGTTATTATGCTTTTTGGACTATTCTGACTATTGAAAACACCATTTTTTGTGACTTGCACAGGATGTTCGTAACGCTGAAGGCTAGATAGTCATGTCTTGATTATTTTTCATCTGGCTTTGTTTCTAGTTACGACCCAATTAACTACACACATACTATTGACAACAAGCTGCTGGTAGTTATTTGGTCATAACTAAAAAAACGAAGAATGAAATTTACATTGACGTCTGACTTAGTTAGCATCAGACACCAAACACCACCATCTTTGGATGCAAACAACTTGTAAGATTCTTGCCTACCAGTCACTCATGCTTAGAAAGTATAAAAGTGCAACATCCTATAGGGGTTTATTATTTGTGTTGAGTCAATAAACAGTCACTTACCTGAGTGCAGCACTGAACAAACAGGCTACAAACACACCTGCTAAGCCTGGCAAAAAACCCAGGATATCAATCACAAAATATGGCATCAACTGAAAATAAAATGACCAATATTTGATTCATAACATATTCATAAGGATATATATATAAAAGCAAATAATATACATTTTTCATTAAACAGAGAATGTTATAATTTCAATGATGGTGGTCATCGCGCCATGCCCTGTTTTATATGGGACTGACATAGAAACAGACAACACATGTGGTGAATTGTATATATTAGAAATATCTTTCACAGGTAGATTGCCAATAATAGTTTTATTCATTCTAATTCACATAAGACTGTAATAAATCAGAATTACAACACAAAATAAACTCACTAAAAATTCAATAAAATGTTGCTAAAATACAAATACTTAAATTCCAGTTCATGCAGTACAAGCATTTCCGTTATATCATCACATAACGGCGCCTCAGTATAACATACAAGTCAAAAGTCAGATCTCGCTTGTAAAACTCAGTTTCAAAACTCACTACATTAGGCAAATGTGATGCTAAATATATATCACATAGTTCTAAACAAATTGTGTTACATCGGAGTTTAAAAAATATTTAAAAGTATTTGATGTTCAACAATATACTAGTAAACGACATCTCGTGTTCTAATATATACTACTACGGCCGCTACTTCAAAGTTCATGAACTGGTTCAGAATAAATGGAAATATGAAGTGAACTAGTTCAGAATAAATGGAAATATGAAGTGAACTGGTTCAGAATATATGGAAATATGAAGTGAACTGGTTCAGAATAAATGGAAATATGAAGTGAACTGGTTCAGAATAAATGGAAATATGAAGTCAACTGGTTCATAATAAATGGAAATATGAAGTCAACTGGTTCAGAATAAATGGAAATATGAAGTCAACTGGTTCAGAATAAATGGAAATATGAAGTCAACTGAATTCAGAATCAAGCCTAAATTGGCACCGTATGATGTAAAAACATGAATATTCACTTATGCATACCTCTATTCTGGGGTCAGATTAAAATAACTTCAGAAAACTTGCATCAAACTATGTGTAAAATACTTTTGTTTGTTAATTTGGAATTCAAACATACTCTGCGAGACAACCACCATCCATTAAATGAGATAACATCCAGATATAATAAAAAAACCAAATCCATATTGACTACTCACATACAGTATAGTCACTTAATCACAGCATTTTCACCTGTCCACATTATGTTTTTATAGTCACAGGATATATTCACCTGTTCAAATTGTTTTTATCAAGTCATACATATAACCCCGATCACATATATTCACCTAATCACTTGTATTTCCCTGCTCATAGGATTTATTTACCAAGCAAATTATATTCATCTTCTCACATATTCATTTTATATTCACCAGATAAATGTATCTGATCACCTGATATATTTTCCTGGTCACATGATGTATTTATCTGATCACCTGATGTATTTATCTGATCACCTGATGTATTTTCCTGGTCACATGATGTATTTATCTGATCAGCTGATATATTTTCCTGGTCACATGATGTATTTATCTGATCACCTGATATATTTTTCTGGTCACATGATGTATTTATCTGATCACTTGATATACTTTACTAGTCACATGATTTGTATAACTGATCACATGATATACTCACCTGGTCTGGTGCACTGACATATCCCGCTGACAGTGGATCACAGTCTACATAGTAAGCATACATAGCAAGACCACTGCATGCAGATAATGATAACACCAACCAAAGCCCAGGTATGTTTAAATAAATGGCACTGGGAAAAAATTCAAAATTTGTTTTCGGTTCAGAGCCTTCTAATTAATTTCTTTAAAACATAATGACAAACTGAGGAGAAAATTACACAAAATGGCACTGCGCACAGATTTTGAACAAATTATATAAAGAAAGAGTAGGCAGATATTAAAGTGGGG